GGACACCAACTACACCCTCAACACGGACTCCCTTGACTGGGTGAGTGCTGCCAACACAGCCACAGGCTGTGGAGTGCACTTGAACTTGCCTCTCCCGGCTGTCCTTTTGCTCCGGGGCTATGGATGAAGCCTGTCCTGGATATCTGAGACAGGGAGTCCCCCACTCTACCCCAGCTCCTCATGATGTGGTTCTGCTGCAAACTGAGGGTTGTTTGGTGGTCCCAGCAGTCTTGCATCGCTGGTGGTGTTCCTGACAGACACACATGTTGGAGCTTGTTCTGCTCTAGGCTTCCTAGATTGATTTCCCAGCAGCTCTATTACACTTCGGAGATGCTTTGACACTTGCTCAGACACATTTTGGTCTGTGTGTTTAACAACGAAGCTTATCAGATGCCACACACACCCCTTTGTTTTGTGGGGTTTCCAGGTATGGTTTTATAGTTGTGACACTAAAAACTGACGTGCCCAAGAATCTGGCATCTGTTCCTATGTTCTCGGTGCCAGGCTTTCAGAAGCTTAAATCATAGTTGGAGGCTGTGTATGGTTAAAACTTTACTCCTGGTGTGTACCTCTTTGAGGAGCACTCATGTTAAAGTGGGTTAGTGTGCTGTACAACATCCCACACTGCTTGTTTTCCCCTCTCTGACTTGAGACAGAAAATCAATTACGGATGTGTATTATTTGGGATGTTCTCAGAGTGCAGAAGTCCAAAATGAATCACTTGCTCACAAATATTGGTCTGTTTAAAAAAGCCCCACACCACCAACAGCAGACCAAGAAACACAGGACAGGTATTGTTTACTATTACTGCACTAAGCAGCCAGCATGGATCTGCTTCCCTGAGGAGCAAGGGGGGAACCACAAGCATTAATGTGCCGGAGCTGCCGCAGTTAAGTAGGATTAGAAAGAAAAAGAAACAAGGAGTTGATGATTGTAAAAGACTTTGTCTTTCACATATTTACATCAGATACCACCCTTTACAGACCCTCTTAGGACCATTCACCCCCAAGGCCACGGTGCTACATAGAAGGGACAAGCAGAGTGTGTAATCTTGGCAGACTCTTACCTGCTGACTCGTAGGGTCAGTGGTTCATCTCCAGGGTGCAGCTCATTTGTCATATGTTGGCTTTGGGTCTACACATGGGATTTGGATGGCCTGTTCATGGCCACATCCCTGCAGGTGTTCCACCCAAGGCCAGGCCTGCCCCAAAGGGATGGGAACTGCCTGGTCTCCTGTGGGAAGTGGGCCTGATCTTCCTGGGATAAATACCAGCTGCCATGGGACTTTTTACGAGCAATTCCTACCCAGGTGGGCTCTGCTAAGGAGTTTCCTGTTCTTGTTTCCAGGCTCTGTATGATCACTTAATGGATTTCCTGGCTGATCGAGGAGTGGACAACACGTTTGCTGATGAGTTAATAGAGCTCAGCACTGCACTGGAGCACCAGGAGTACATCAAATTCCTTGAAGACCTTAAAAGCTTTGTGAAATGTCAGTAGGTTAAACTAGGAAACTTGCCTTCGAGTGTGGGTATTCCACAGCACTGCTCCAGCCAGCAATACCCAAATATATCTTCACAACAGGCATGGAGAGTAAGTAATGTTGAATTTGGAGGCTGGGAAAAGGAGGATTCTCACTTGTATTTAGGGATTTGTATTTATGTTGCAGCCCTGATCAAGTTCTCTCTGACATAAACGGTCCAGAATTGCCTCACCCTGCTTGGTGGGTTTTGTACAATTAAGGATGAATGTGAAGAATAAAATCGGTTCAACATATCACTGAAAAGAATGGTGCTTCCTCTTCTTCCTGCTCTGCCTTTGCTGCCCAGAGAGTGGCCCCAAAACTGCTGCTGGTGTCAGTACAGCTGCTCACAGAGCTCTGTGTGTGCTGATACAGCACTTTCTCTGGGGAGAGCTATTCAAGAACCTCCAGCCATGCAGTGTGGCAGAGCTGTGTCTGTAGGAGGGCTGACGGCCAAGCAGTGCTAATTATGAACATGAATCTCATTCTAGGGATCTTTGCTGTCTGGATGTCAGGGAACAGAATTCAGGGTCCTAAACATCACGTTCAAGGAGTGTTTCTAAAAAGGAATGTGCTGCTATAATCAATTACATTAATGTTGCTGCAGGAGGCTGGAGCACTTCAGCTTCAGCAGAAGGACCAAGAGGCTGTGGGTGCTGATGTGGAAGGCAGTGGGGCAGCAGCTCCCACTGTCTCCTCAGACTGTTGCCAGTTGTTACCTGAAGGTCACATTAAGTTTAAAGAGAAACCGCAGCTGAAGTTCCACTGTGAGCCCTGAGTTAAAGACGACACAAAGTCTGAAATAAACTAAAGTATATTTATTGCAAAATATATCCTGTGCCATTCAAAGTGCAGGGCAGGGCAGCGCTGCTGCCTTTCCAGGTATCTGACACAGTAGCTACAGGTATGTACATGAAAATACTAGCAGCTCTGGGGACGATTTTTACTCTTGAAGTCCTTCCAGTACAAAAGCAGCAGTTGAATGAACTTACAGGAGAATCGTCCAGGAGTCACAGACCTTAACAAAAGGCAAGATGAAAGGGGATCCTAATGTATAAAATGAATTATTAATGTTCAAAATTTGTCTGAAATGCTCCGCTCCCAACACCATTCTCATGGTGATTTTAAGTCAGCAGCAAAGCTATAAAGACACAGGAGCTCCAGCCCGAGCCAAAGGGATGGTGTGTTCTCCAGGAGGTACAGGTGAACCTTCTGAGGAGGCTTAAACTGAAGTAATCCTTAAACCTTTTCCTTGTGAACCACTTATCTGAATGGATGTTCCACACAAGACAAGGAACCCATTGGCTAACACGTGAGACAGGTAAGGCACTACATGGGACAGGTCCTTGGAAGATGCCCTAGTCCAGCAGTTAAGGCAAGTTGTGTCTCTTGGCTTTGCTTTTCACAGTAACTGGTCAAAACTAAAACCATTCCCAAGGAAGTTTGTGGAAGAACTCCAGCACAACCCCCCAAGGGTCAATGGACTTGTGGTTTCTGCCCATGTAATTGAGAAGGGGATCCAAGCAGAGATCCTTTCCAGGAAGCTGACATTTAGACTCACCGCACAGCTCATGAGGAGACTGGCTTCTTCCTCCATCCCACTGGTGACTGTGAACTCCGGGCTGTGGAAGCACCTGTGGCTGTGCTCTGTTACAGTGTTTTCTAGGAGTGACCTAAGCTTCCCTTCTGTCATATCCTGAGGAAAAAGGGGGTTAATAGAAGGCTTAACCTGGCCATAGCTTAAACATGCCTCTTCCCAGCAGCAGACATGTCACAGTGCAGCTCACCTGTGTGCTGATGTGTAACCCACACTGGCAGAAAACCACATGATTCCTCACAGTCAGGTTATTCCTAGAAAGAGCATTCAACGAGCAGCATCAGAACAGAGGCAGATGTTAGCAAAAACCCTGTTAGATTTAGGAGGTCAATGTGGGTTTTTTACTTGAAATTAACACTAGCACCAGCCTCTCTTTGCCCATTGCTTTCATCTGTTTGTAAAGCCCAAACTACTGCAGGGGAGCAGAGAATCTCATTCCAGTGTTGAGGACTTTTCTTACTTTCTACACACTGGGCAGATGATCTTGTCACTGGCATCCAAGCCATCCAGCATCGCGTTGAGGCATTCCTCATCAAACTGCAGGCTCTGCTCATACTCTTCCATAACCAGCTGCTCTGCAATAACAACAAAACACCCTTAGGCACCTGCTATGAACTCAAGGCAAAGCTGTACAAGTGGAGCTGCTGCAGAAGCAGGGGCTAGGGTGGCCACTGGTTTCAAAGAACTTTTCTTTCCTTGGATCAGGTTTCTATGTGATGAAATCAACCCATTTTGTCCCTATGGCTCAATCTTTAATCCACCTCTGGTGCCTTTCCAACCAGCAGTTCAGAAACATTCTGAATTGATTTATACAGGTTCCTACAGCTCCCCAACACCTCAGCCCTGTTTCTACGCTCTCCTCTCTTACTAGCTTCTCACAGACCTTACAATGCCATTTAAATTGTCTAAAAGGTATTCACTGCCTTAGAGAGGCTACAAAGGCTCCTCCCCTATAGCAGGTGGGCTCCAAGAACCAAGCGGTGCAGCCTCAGCTGGTTTGGATTACTAGAGGGGAACAGTAAAGCTCAGATAGGAGTCAGAAAACATGCAGTGACTTTACCTTGCAAGATCAGTTCTTGCTGGATCTCCTCCAGCACCGCCAGCTCATGGGGATCCTCCAGCATCTGGGAAAGACACATCCCAGTGATCCAACCGTCCTGGCTGCTCTGTCACTAAACCTCCACGCCTGACTGCGCCGTCACAACCCCAATTCGCTCTGTGTGTTCTTTGGGCTGTAAATCTCTATTTGCCAAACCGTGCGCTGCGGGAAGCAGCCTGTCCGACAGCCACCTGTGCAGGGCCGGCCAGGACACAGCCTCCACTGCTTTTCAAAACACCGATGGTTTATTCCTGCTCTCGGCAGCGGGAAGCGACAGAGCAGCTCTAAAACCCACCGATGGGGAGCCCACCCCCTGCGGGATGCGCAGGTCCTGAAGGAAGCCGAGGCACTCACAGCGCTGCACCCCACGTTACAGCTGTGGAGCGGGAACCCCAAACCAGCCCCGAACACCCACAGCCCCATGCACACAGCGATGCCTCTGACCCGCCCGCACCCCGCAGGGAGCCGGCACCGACCTGCGGCAGCGCCTCCGTCCCGCCGAGGGCCTGCAGCGCCCGCCACTCCTGCTCCATCACCTCCCGCACCAGCGCCGGGCCCCTCGGCCTCTCCCCGGCCCGGCGGTACCGCTCCAGCAGCTTCGCCCGGCTGCTCCTCAGCCTCTCCATGCAGCGCTGGGAGCGACACACACACACGGGGCGCGTCAGGGAAGGGAGGGAGGCAGGGAGGGGGCCGCCCGGTCCCGTCCCGTCCCGTCCCCACTCACTAGCCGGTAGGTCTCCTTCCAGGGCGGCGCGGCCCGGCCCTTGTACCGCGCTCGGCTCCGCCATGGCGGCGCCTCCATGGCCCGGGCGAGCCGCGGCGCGCCTGTGCCGCTGGGCACGCCGGGAAATGTAGTCCCGGCGCGGAGAGAGCGGCGGTGGCTGCTGGCGATGGCGGCGGAGAGCGGCCCCGCGGAGCAGTGGCGCACGGCCCTGCCGCAGCACGAGGTGCTCAGCCGCCTCCGGGAGCGAGAGGCCGCAGCCCCCGGCGCCGCCGCCCGGCCGCCCATCATCCGCAACCTCCTCTTCGGCCTCGATGGCGACCTCTTCCTCTGGGACAGCGAGCACAGCGCCCTCCACACCATCGGCCTGCGCCGCCTCGGCGGGCCCGAGGCCCCGGGGCTCAGCCGGTACCAGGTAAGTGGGGAGAGCCCGAGGGACCGCGGGCGGGTTGTGAGGGCAGGAGGGGACCGTCACGGGGAGCGGGGCTGAGCGGGGCCGGGCCCTCAGGGCCCCGGGCTTGCTGGCGCTGGGTCTTTGCTCACAGAAACCCGCCGGCCGTGTGCTCGGCAGGTTTTGCCCCGCTCTTGACCGTGTGACCGTTGTATAAATCACTGTCCAGAGCAGGAGCGGGCGGTGACCGTCCCCATATGGCCCTGGTGATGCCGCACCTCGAACCCTGTGTTCAGCTCTGGGCTTCTCACCACAAGAGAGACATTGAGGTGCTGGAGCGGGGCCAGAGAAGGGCAGCGGAGCTGGTGCAGGGCCTGGAGCACAAGTGTGATGGGGAACGGCTGAGGGACCTGGGGGGTTCAGTCTGGAGAAGAGAAGGCTCAGGGGGGACCTGATGGCTCCCTACAAGTGCCTGACAGGAGGATGGAGCCAGGAGGGGCTGGGCTCTGCTCCCAAGGAACAAGGGATGGGACAAGAGGAAACAGCCTCAAGCTGCCCCAGGGCAGGTTTAGATGGAGCTGAGGAGCAATTCCTGCCCCAGAGGGTGCTCAGGCATTGGAACAGGCTGCCCAGGGCAGGGCTGCAGTCACCGTCCCTGCAAGTGTTCACACCCCGTGGAGACAAGGCCCTCAGTGCCATGGGTCAGTGGTGGCCTTGGCAGGGCTGTGGTAAGGGTTGGACTTCATGAGCTTAAAGGTTTTATCCAACCTGGATGACTGTGATAAAGATGTGCCGTGCTTCCGTGAGTGCTTTTGGTGGCTTGTGCTTAACTGATGTATTTGTATTTTCAGACCCTGATGTGCATAAACCCACCCCTGTTCGAGGTTTATCAGACGCTGTTAAGCCCCACGCAGCATCATGTGGCGCTCATCGGTACGAAGGGGCTCATGGTGCTGGAGCTGCCTAAACGCTGGGGGAAGAATTCAGAGTTTGAAGGTGGGAAATCCACGGTGAACTGTAGGTGGGTGAGACCTCAGGTGGTTAACGACACCCTTGTCCTGCCACTGTTCCCTTACAGCCTCTCCTGCCTTGGGCACCAGTGGATAAGGAAGACATTGGTTGTGTTGGGGTTGTAGGGACAATCACAAATGAAGTTAACTTGCCTCAAGGACTTGCTGATTGTTAAGTGACCCAAATAAATTACCTTCTTAATAGGGTGCAGCTGCTGAGGAGCTGAGTGCTCCTCTGTAGTATTCTCTATTCTTTCTGGAGTCTTTTAGCCATACATCCAGCTGGAAATAACACAGGCTCCAAGTGAAAGCTGTAACTTCAGCTTTAAGAATAATACAGCTAATGGCTTTGAAACCTTTTAATTGGGTTTCTAGCTCCTCTTGCCCCCCCTTCCCCTTCGAAGTAACTTGTGTGTGTTTTGTAACAGTGCATATCTCTGCTGTGTATTTCAGCACTGTCCCTATTGCGGAAAGGTTCTTCACAAGCTCAACATCTCTGACTTTAAAGCATGCTGCCTGGTATCCCTGCGAGACACTGGAGCCCCATATTGTGCTCTTGACTTCAGATAACACTATACGGTAAAACCTGATTGTAGTTTATTATCAAAGGGTTGTTTTTTTTTTGCAATAGCCAGTCTGATTCTTTGCTAGATATTTGCGTCCAGCCATTCCTACCAGGATTACCAATAAAAAGTAGGATGGGATAGATTTTGGACTGGTAGCAACTGTGTAACAGTGCCCTCTGAATGCCCATTGCTGCATTTCTTTCCTCTAGGTTTTACAGCCTGAAGGTACCTCACACACCCATCAAGGTGATCGCTCTTTCAGACACTGAGGAGGAGACTTTCACCATCAAAAAAGGGTTTGTGTGGCTGCTTGTATTTTGAAATGCTTTTGACAGAATAAGCTCTGTGTTCTCAGCTGTGTTTTTAACGAGTAAGTGATAAATCTGCCTGGAAACCTGATGTGATGTGGTTTTTTTCCTGGACTTTCTCAGCAGCAACTGCACTTTTTCTTGGCTTTGTTTTTTTCCTTTTTTTGTCATCCTGAAAGCGGTAACAAACTGTGCAGTCAAGTGTTTGTCAGAGTAGTCGTGTGAAAAATACACCTTGTCTTTCAGATGGGGCTATGAAGGGCTTTTTGAGTGAGGAGTGCAGAAAATAGCTCCTTTTTTTTAGTCCCTTCTTGGCCTACTTAGAAAGTAAGAACTTGAGGGTCTCAGTAGTCAAGTCACAGACTGCCACAGGAAATACCAGTATGCCCATCTCTTCTGTCCTGTGAAATGGGGCTGGCTGGTGGGTGTGTTGCAGAAATGAGGCACTGTGAGAAGGATGTTACTCACATGCTTTTGCTGCTGAAAATAGCACATGTCCAAGGACTGATGGGCAGGTGTTTGGTGGTAATTTGTCAGCACGTACCCATGGTCTAGTTAAACACTTGTGTCCTTAGAATTGTTGGTAACTTCAGGTCTTGTTCTCACTTGTGCCCAGGAGAGCCTACACAGCATCACTGGGGGAGACCGCGGTGGCATTTGACTTCGGCCCACTGGTGCCAGTCCCAAAGAACACACTGGGACAGCGAGGCAGTGACGAGGTGCTGGCCTATCCACTTTACATTCTGTATGAAAATGGAGAGACGTTCCTCACCTACATCAGCCTGCTGCAGAGGTAGGATCATGTTCCTCATCAGGTTTCATCATGTTCATCATCAGGGGTGCTTCTATGTCTGTACAGTGTTAGGGCTGGAGAGCCATCTCTCGGTTTGGCTGGGACTCTGTAAAGGATGCTGGGCCGGGGTTTATTGTATTGCAGTCTGGTTTATCTCTTTATGTCAGTGCTAATAGGCTGAAATCCAAGAATATTTGTCCTCCTTTTTCATCTAGATATTAAGCGTGCAGTTTCCACTGCTGAGAATTCACTGTCCATTATTTGCCATCAGAAATCCGAAATGAAGACACCAGACTGTTAGAAGATCAGCAGGTCTAAGGGTATTTTAGGATCTCCAATTCACAGTGCAGGCATCCTTAGCTTAGTGGCATCCTAGGAAAGAAAGATTTTAAGATCATAGAGGGTTTGCAGGCATGTTCCATGATGACATATAAGAATGTAAATCAGGAATATAAGCCCAATATAAAAAAAAGTTACTTCAGAAAACTGAGAAGATGGTGGAAAACTTAAAGTTGGATCTAGTATAACTGAATATTAAACTGTGGGGTATTTTGGTTTGAAGCAGCACCGTTTGCTTCTGCACAAGAAATACTGCAGCACTGAGCAGATCCTGTCTGTAGGCAGTGAAAGGGGCTCAGTTCTTCAAAAGTTCTACCAAGAGAAATGATGTGTTGCAAAATGCTGCTTGTAAAGTGCTTTAACAAGGAAGAAACCAATTAGGTGTTAAAGGTAATGCACCTTTAGTAATGAAATCTCTCATTTATTTGCAGCGTAGCTTGGTTGCTTTCAAAGCATGAAACATTACTGACCTCCAGTTTCTTCTCTGACATCTCCACCAAGAAGTTGTTGTTCAGGCTCAATCTGCAGAAGCCTGGGCTGCTGCTGGCTCATAGAAATCAGAACTAAAACCACTGGGTTGTTTGGGGTTTGGATTATTTTTAGGTCCTCCTTATCTTGTAGTTATTGTGCAGCAAACTCTCGCAGGTAACTATGGGGAGCTCTCCTTCCACGCCTCATCTTGTGAACACATCTTTATTCCAGCACTGGGAATCTTGGCAAGCTGCTTGGCCCTCTGCCCATGCACCCTGCAGCAGAAGACAACTATGGCTACGATGCTTGTGCTGTCCTTTGCCTGCCCTGTGTTCCAAACATCCTGGTGATTGCCACCGAGTCGGGAATGCTTTATCACTGTGTGGTACTGGATGGAGAAGAAGATGACGATCCGGTATCTGGTCTTGGGGTTCTTTTTGTCTACACACATTTTTGTTTCTTTACTTCCTGGCTGCCAAGATGGCAGGATGCCCACAAGTGAATGCCAAGTGCCAAAGCTGCATTCTTTTATCATGAGGTAGTGAGTCTCCCTCCTCTTCCAGCCAGTCCCTGGGATTCTCTGATGCTTTTCTTCTAAGTGTCAGATCTGTGTATCCTGATGGTAGGTCAGATTTTGATCAGACTTACTATGAACTGTTTTAAAGAGAATCTTCTAAGAAGAAACTCTATTTCTGAGATGATTTTTTTAAAGTGGGGAAAAATAAAAGGGACTTGAACTACTTCTCTGTCAGTTAATACTCTTGCCTGTGCTGTGTGAGCGTTGATGTTGTTTATCTTGGCATGTCTGTTTAAATGATGTTGCACAGAATGAATTCTCATTGCTCTTTACAGTCAGAAAAGTCATGGGACCCAAGATCTGATATTATTCCTTCCCTGTACGTGTTTGAATGTGTTGAGCTGGAACTTGCACTGAAACTGGCATCAGGAGATGAAGAGGAGCCTTTAGAATCTGACTTCTCTTGCCCAATCAAATTGCATCAAGGTAGGGCTGGTTTTCAGGTTATTGGCTTTATTTAATGTTTTTAAGATCAAGGTACGTATAAATTATCATTTGTGTCAAACAAAGGGGTGTTAAAATAAGAATTTGGTGTCTTCAGTAAAGCTGTAGAAGGAGCAAGCCTGGGAGGTGCTTTAGTGTTCACTGAAGGGCAGATTACAGATGGTCACATACTACTGTATTCTTTTAATGTGTATTATAAAGTAGAATTTGTTGCATCTGTGTGTCAGCATGTGCTGTGGGGATGGTGATCCTGATGGAGGAATCAGTGCCTGCTGCTTAGACTCTCTGATACAAATGTGCGGCAGGAGGTTGGGTAGCACAGAGTGTTTGGGTCTTTCTAAACAAGAAGCTTGTCAGAATGCTCATCTGCTGGCTTTAAGTGATCTTCCCTTTAAAATCCAGTGGACAGGTAGAGGTGTGGGGGGATAGGAATAGTTCAAAACAATTCATCAGGTGTTTCAAGTGTAATTATATTTTATGCAGAACTCTAATAACGTGACCAAAGCATCAAGCTCAGTTTTTGGATGGGGATGAGTTAGCACTTGTAAGATGTCAGTGCTGACTGAACACTAAGTTGATGCACAGCTCAGCACTGCAGGTTCCAGTGGTGGGTTTTTCTCAGTTCAGTGCCTTTTCTTACATTTCCTGTTTCAATTTCAGATCCAAAATGTCCCTCTCGCTACCACTGCACACACGAAGCTGGTGTCCATAGCGTGGGGCTGACATGGATCAACAAACTGCACAAATTCCTTAGCTCAGGTGAGTGGTGAGACCATTGCACACAGAGGGAAGAGAGTGCTACTGAACACCAGTGTTCTGCTAGCAGCAAGTTGGTAGATGGGGGTAGTACTGAGAACCCCTTACCGTGCAAAGCAGACCTGAAGCATTCTGACAAATCTCTTTGTAGATGAAGAAGACAAAGACAGTTTACAAGAGTTGGGAGCAGAACAGAAGTGCTTTGTTGAACATATTCTTTGTACAAAACCGTTGCCATGCAGGTAAAAATCAAACTCTATTGCTTCCAAACCAGTGAGTTGCTATGGAAAGTATGTATGATTTGCCCTCTTCTGCTGCACTCTTTCCATTAAAATTAATGCAGTCAGCTCAAAAGAACGCAGATAACATAACTAAGCACTTTGTGCATCAGGAACAAAACTCTTTTGACTGGATAATTTTTGTGCTTTCTTCCCTGCAGGCAGCCTGCTCCTATTCGAGGCTTTTGGATTGTTTCTGACATCCTGGGACCCACAATGATCTGCATCACAAACACCTATGAGTGTATTACAAGGCCTCTCTTGTACGTGGGTCTGAATTGGTTTGAAATCTGTGGCTGTTGCATGAAAAGGATCTGAGGCTATTATTTCATTGCTCTATTATTTTCACCCCAGCCATATGCATCTCCCATGACACACAGGGCAGTTTGCCTCCTGAACACTCCCTGGCTGAGCACTTAAGTGTTATTATAGTAGTTACTTGCTACTGATAAGGTGTTTGTAGGGGATATAATTAACCTGTAGCACTTTTAGTGAGTATTAGGACTAGAATTGCATCTAAAGGTTCTTGAGGGTATTGTTGATTTTTCTTCATTGTTATCATGAGGAATCTGTGAACCAAAACCTTGTTTACAGCCAGTCCAAAGATTCTGAATGAGCACCAAGGTGATGTTTGCTGTAAAGAGAAAAAAAATGGATTCTTAAAAGTGCCTTAAAGCAGTGGGATTTTAGTAGCCATTTCCAAAGCCACTGCACTTTGGGAGCGGTGGGAAAAATCCAGACTCACGTGGTAGGTTTGCATGATGAAGTGAATGTACTGAGGGGAGGGCATTGTTTTGGGTTTGTTTACTGCTAAGAACACTTCAATGTGTGACAGGTACCTTCAGCTGGTGTTAATGTCAGCTTCTCACAGACCTTGCATTATTCTTTTAACTACTTCTGCAGTGCTTTTAAATAGGTTTTTCTGTCCGCTCTTTTAGACCCCATTATCAGAAGTAACAGGGGTGGGCAGTGATGCAGCAGGCTGCTTTGAAAAGCAGGTAATGCCCCTGTTCAAGGGGCACTCGCCTTGTTTCAGAGCTCAGCTCTCTTCTTGAGTAAAAGGGTATTTATGATTGCTAGTTTCAGCTGTGGCCAAGCAGAAAGCTGTGGGGGTGTGATGCCACTGACCTCCTATAGACCTGGAACACTCCTGACTTACTGCTGTAATACCTTAATTCCACAGGGCTGACTTCCTTTAACTACTGTTTGACACAGTATGGATGTTTCTGGTTTAACCTGTGTTCTCCCATTTGATGCTCTGGTAGAAGTACAGTCCATCCTGCATCCCCTCCACTGCTGTGTACCAGGGAAGACAAGGAAGTTGCTGTTTCCCCTCTCCGTATCCTGGCTGCATCACAGCATTCATTTGAGAAGCATATCCGAAGCATCCTGCAGCGCAGTTCTGCCAATCCCTTGGTTCTGAAGTAAGCAAATATGTTTTCCCAGGGGACCTGAACAGGGAAGGCTTTCAGGAATACTGTGTGTATAGCAAAGGGGTTTAACTGTAGCCTTCCATAACAGCCCTGCTGAGCTGTCACCATAAATACTGCAAATTGTTTATCCTTGCAAAGGGATGGGTTGGAGTAGGATTGCAAGCCCATGTCTTATATTATTCAGGTCTGCTGATAAAGATGCTGCTCCTCCCCCTGAAGAATGCCTTCAGCTTCTTAGCAGAGCCACCCAAGTGTTCAGAGAGGAATATATACTGAAACAGGACCTGGCAAAGGAGGAAATTCAGCAAAGGTAATACAAACCCCTCATAACTATGGGCTGCACAGCCTTTGTGAAACAACAGCACTAAGTACTGAGCACTAAACCTCTGCTGCACTAACCCTTGTAAATGAGTAAAATGTACTCGGGTAAGACTCCTTCTTCAAATTAGAGTTATGTCGCAAAGTTAGGGCAGAGTGGAGGAGTTTATTCCCACCACTGCCCATCCTTTATTGTCTTTAGTTCTTCATAATCACTTCTGTGCTATTGTCTGTGTAGCATAAACCCCAGCTGAACTGGGTTGCTGGTGGAGGTGATTTGATTTTATGTTTTTATTTTAAGAGTGAAGCTGCTGTGGGGACAGAAGAAGAAACAACTGGAAGAGATTAATTACTGTCGGGAGGAAAGGTGAGGCTAATGTGTCTGCTTTACCAAGTCAGACATCAGGAATGCAAGTGCTTCATACAGGGGCCTGTGTGCAGTGAGTGAGAAGTAAATGCATGTCTGGCTCTTTGCTCTGTCTCTCACCTTTCCTGTGAATCTAAATAGATGTTTCTCACTTGCACAAAGGAAAAGCCTGCGGGAAATGGCCGAGCGCTTGGCTGACAAGTACGAGGAAGCCAAAGAGAAGCAGGAAGATATTATGAACAGGTGAGTGCAAGCTCTGCTCTGTTTCATCACTGATTACTTGCTGTTAAGTAGGGGTCTGACAGAACAGGGTGGGCAGAAAGTGCTCAGTTAGAATCCAGGGTTTCTGCAGTTCTCTTTGCTGGGGCGCAGTGGTGATTTTTCAGTACAACTTCAGGCCCAGGCTGAGCCAGCTCATGGTTTAGAAATGCCATGTGAGAGGAGCTGAAAGGGGAAAGTCAAGTCCTGAGCCCCTGAAACTCAGAAGAGCAACAGCAGCACAAGGCTGGTGGTGTCTTAGCAGTAAGTTCATTCAGTGACGTTTCTTGCTTTGTACACCAAGGATGAAGAAAGTACTTCGGAGTTTCCACTCTCAGCTTCCTGTTCTGTCAGACAGTGAAAAAGACATGAGGAAAGAGCTGCAGACAATACATGACCAGCTGCAGCACCTGAGCAATGCCATCAGACAGGTGAGAGCGTATGTTACTGGACCCACCTCACTCACACCCTGGGACAGTGCTGGTAGAACAGGGTCCTTCCAATGGAGCAGCTTTGTGCTTACATTAAATTAGCAGCAACATACTAAAATAACTTCTGACCTTGTTATTCACACAGAGAGACCTTCTGCAGCCCAGTATAAACCCTGAGAAAGCCTACACACCCCCTCCATAGTCCTAGCAGTAACATCCTCCTCTTTGGGGGAGGTAAAGTCCAAAAGCAAGCAGGTTTTAACCCAAACACGCTGTGCTACACCAATTTGTGACTGTAAGCAGCTTTCACTTTGGCAGCCAATGCCACCACTGACTGGGGTGTTCTTTTTGTGCATAACTTCCAGGTTAAAATGAAAAAGGAATATCAGCAGAAAAAGATGGAGAGGGGTTCCAGCCCCCGAAAACCCAGCATTAGCCTCAGTGCCTACCAGAGCAAGTGCATCCAAACCGTCCTGAAAGAAGAGTAAGTTAAAGCTTGGATCCTCCTGTAGAATTCAAGCCCTGGCACTTACAAAAGCAATTCCAGTTGAGTTTCTGGGGTATGGTTTAACCTCTGTCCTGCAGGAAGGGGGATCACTGATGCACTAGCTGGAGCTTGGTGAGAGGGGCTGAAGTATAAGCTGTGCCTCTGTGTGACAGCAGCACTGGCCATCTTGTGCTAGTATTAAACTAAAATCTGCTTTAAGTTGGCTGTTTGCCCAGGGATGTTTTGGCAGTCTCCGTCCAGCCCATAATTAACAAAATGACTTGCAGCTCTTTCCATTCTCTGTATTTCCCTTCCTGGTAAGTTCTGAGCAAATGACTTGCACCCTCCTGACTTGGATTTCTTTTTCCTGAAGGGGAGAACACATAAGGGAAATGGTCAAACAGATCAACGACATCAGAAGCCATGTGAACTTTTGACATGCCCTCGCTGAGGAAGCTGCACCAAAAGACTGGATGAGCTTTAACGTTCCCTGATATCTCCCCTTGTATATTTACCATTTGTACGTCAAGCAATACACCTTTTACTTATTGTTTTGTGAAGCTGGACTGTGAAATAAGATACTTTTGATGAGATTCCTTACATACTGTGTTCTTTGCTTTTCTCCTGGGAAGGAGGCACGTTACATTGTGCCTGTTCCAAGGTGCTCCAACTAGCTCCACAGTGTGGGAATTGCTCCCTGGGGTTATTCTGGGAGACTTCTCCCCCCTTGGTCCGAGGTAGGGGAGCTCTGTGGCTGAAGGCAGAGTAGAAAGACCAGAGAGAAGCGCACACACTTCAGCAGCTCTTTTTAATTTGGAACACTTTCTTCATAAAGGACACACCTTCAATACAGTTAACAAATGGTTACACACGAATCCTGAGGACAGCAGAACTCTACACCCACGATTGCACGGGACACCAATGGTGTGGCTCACCGGAATGCAGTAGTAACTTCCAAACACTCAGTTTGCCTTTAGCAAAAGATGGCTCCAGAGTCTTAATTGACATTAAGAGGTCAGTTATTTATCTTCTGTAGACAAATGTCAGTGGACAATAAATAATTGCTGTCCCTCACCCCAACCCCTTAGAAAAGGTGACATGGTCAAGCTCAGTTTTGAAAAGTAGTACTGCACTGCTACAAAAGTGGCACAGCAAGAGGTGCCCCAGTAAAGCTGAAGGAAGGGGGCTGCTAGTACCTGCTGGGTAACGAGGGTACCAGGCATGCTGCAAGAACACTTGGGTTTTTGTACAGATTAAGACTATACAAGTAGAGGAATGCATTCAAAACTTGATCTCATCCCTTTACAGTCTGCAAGAACAGAATCCAGTTTTCTAGTCCACTCGCCCTGTGTATCGTGGCTGACCTGCCTGGTCAGCAGTGCCTGTTGAGAATCTCTTACTAACCGTGGAGAACCCACCACCCTACTCAGATCATGTTCCAGAACACCAAGAACTGGAGGGAAAAGCATTTGTGTTCTGATGTTTTATGAGCAGTAACACCATAATCCACCCAGTGAGTATCTACAGCACGAGCTTTCACTACACTTAATTTACTTTCTTTTAACTTCGCTTTGCAAGTTTGGCACATGCTATTTTGTTTTTAAAGGCCCCTTTAAGTCTCTTTGAGTTGCTGCTTCTGAAGCTGTGCTCTCCTTCCTGGGGAAGGACAGCCCCTCTGGGGCAGGACAGCTTTGCAGTGAGCATGGCTCCTACTGCCCCTGTGAACAGGCAGGTTTCCAATCAGAAACATGGTCACAGCTAGGCCTTAAACAGGAGGGAAGGTGTTCAGGTGTGTGATGGAATATGGGGGGTAAAAGGGAACAACCGTACAGTTCTTGTACACCCTTCGTCTCCAAACCAAGAGGAAGTTCCTTCACAGACTCATGCAGTGCCTGGTTTACCAGTGTCCTTGCTCTTACCAGCACTGCAGCCCTACCACTGCCTCCAGCCTCCTCTAACCAGACCAACCGGCCAGCATTGGCCCCCGAGACCAGCACAGGAGCATGCACAGCAACACACACACATACAGAACACCATTGGGCAACCACTGTACTTGTTACTGTGTCTCCCCAAAATGACAAACTGATTGGCACGTGCCTGTCTGCCCTATTGGGTTGCAGAGACCCAATGAAACCCTACAGCCACCAGCAGAAGGCTGACCTATGGGAAGCCACATCACCAAGCTGTGAAATGCACTAAGGGAAAGCCACACCAGGCCTGGACTGGTTGAAACAACCTAAACTGGTCAGCTCTGATCCCTGTTGTTCGGGGCAGGGCTGCTGAGGATGGGCACGGACACAAGGGCCAGGAAGGGATGCTGAAAGGCAGTGACCAGCCACTTCCCTTGCTCTCCTGCTCTAGGAGCACGGCCAGAAACCCAACCAAAGCCTCTTTTTCTGCGTAAGTCTTCAGGTGCAGCTCCTCGCATCCAGCTTGCTGAAGAGCTGTACAGGATTTGGTATAGTTTCGCTATACAACACTTAAGGCTTCCTTAAACAAACACTGCTGCACAGGTACCAGTAATGGTTACGAGCTAGTTTTTGGGAAGAAAGGGAACAGAAAAAGCTTTTGTTTCTGCAGCTCCTAATAAAGGCCCAGAGGATTTTTCTCCAAAGTTTACTCAACAGAATGGAACCATCAGAAAACTGAATGCAAAACATCTGGTATCAGATCTACGCATCAGGACACAGCTGCTGTCACCTCACCTTTCCGCGAGTAGTGAGAAAGGGTAAAGAAATCGTGGTAATAGCCAATTAATAAAGAACCTGAGCCATATGCAGACATGAAGTGTCATTTTAAGAAGATGACAACCTTGCCATCTATTAGTCTTGTCATTACTAAGGTAGGAAAAATAGCTCTTGGATGTCAGGATTATGAAAGGAATTAGTTGCCAGGGTGAATAAAATGCTTTAATTCTTGCAATGAGTGACAAGCAATTGAGCTTGTATGTGTCTTTTGGGCTGGTTTAAGGCATTCCTCTGCAAAAACACTGGTTCTGTTAATAGCAAGATATACACTGCTAAAAATAGGATTTAAGCACTTAAAATACAGTCATGTACATTATAGTCTGAGGCATTTTGTGTCACTTCTCGTTTTCTTCATCACCTTCAGATCTATGGCCAAGCATGTAAAGAAAGAACAATAAGCAAAAGGGGAAAGTTGCAATACAAATGTTGGACAGCACCAACCTGCTCCTTTGGCCTCCTTTCCTTTAATGAGTGGCAAGTAGGGGCCAGATCAAGAACTCCCTAAGCACCACCAGCACTATCAACACCTGTAGTCACACCTGAAACTGCTGCTTGCCAGCTGTGGGCACAGCCCTGCTGTGACAAGGGGAGGAAAGGGAGGAGGAATGGTCAGGTTAGTAATGGTCATGCCACCACCATGCATCTATAGAATAAGAAATCCAAACCTACCACCCGCTTGATCACAAGAACTTCTTGCCTTTGCTGTAATTTAAATGTACAGTTATAAGAATACGGGACAGTCAGCTCTGAGCAATGCCATACTTTAAAGTAAGAGATGCACTGTACCTGTCCAACTTGACCCAGCAGAGTAACGCAGCTCCTCCACACTTGTGCTCTGTGACAGAGAGTGCAGTCACCGTTCAGTGCATGCAAGGCTGACCCAGGAGAGGTGGTAGGCCAGGCTGATGCCTCATTCAGCTCCTTACCTTGCTGCTGCCCAGCGAAAGCCACCAACCTCACATCTGGTGTCACCCATGGGAGCAGAGCCAGCCTGCAGTGACCCCATGCCAAAGCTCAGACAATGCATAGGGTCTCTACTAGCTTTGTTTGTTACATAGCAAAGCGATTACAGGTACTGCTCAGCTTTAAGAGAGGAAAAAGAACCAGTTGTAGTTCCACGTTCTAAATTACAGTTGTGAAAAGAGATTACAAAACAGTGCATTTCTTGTGCTTTTCTTTTAAGTATCAGAATTCAACAGAAAAAATGTCAAGGAGCTAAATTCTCAGTACATTTGTCATCATTTGTTTTTTGGATTAGCATTGATCTGTTTAGGAGACACAGCTCACTCGTGTCCATCACATCCCAGCAGCATTCAGGTTCTTCAACACAAAGGTCAATGGTTTAAAAAGGAAAAAAAAAAAGGGGGGGGAATAGTACTGAGTTATGAAATAAGATCAATATCCAGTGTCCTGCTAATAAAGTCATATTTTAATATAAAATATTCATACAGCATACTCTACACCTCATTCTCTCCGCTAGCTGAATACTGTTACCGACTAGTCAAACAGAAAAACTTCAACCACTTTGCTCTTCAATGTTTTGGAGGGACAATATGGTTTCCAGCAGCTACTTTGATCACAGTAGTGGGGGGAAAGGAAAGAGGGAAAGACACGGGGTAAATGTTCCAAAACTCTACATTAGGTTACGGAGTCGGCTGAAAGAGGAGAAGGTTTTCAGAATGTAAGGACTGATCCCACTCAGTGGAACGCGAAACACCACACGCATTAGTGTTTCCATTAGAAAGTTCTCCTTCCTACACTGCAAGTCACCCTTGTGCTCTCTTCCTGCCCAGTACAAAACCTTTTTCCCCCTCTAGAAACAAAACTTAAGTCATTGCTCCCCTCTGTTGTCTTCTGCTCTTTCGGTTAGAGTTAAATAATAATTAATGTTGCTATAAAGATGAGTTAAAAACCCCAAACGCAGCCTTGGAGCCCGCTCATCAGGGTGTCATGTTTCAGGAAGCTGATTAATGTCCGTCAGTTTTGTGTCGTTCAGGATTGCACGGATTCTCTCCAGGGAATCTGCCTGCCGGATCCGCTCCAGCTGCACCTACAGGGAACCAACAGACAGGGCTGAGCTGCTGAAACAGGCTGCTGCAGAGCCACAGCTGAACAACCGCCGTGTTAGCAACCCTGGTACCCACACAGGCAGAACTGAAAGCAAAGCATCATCAGCTGAGAAACACGAGACATGAAGGAGCACAAGCCTCCTGCAGAACCAAGAACAGGAGGAAGGAAGACAGAAGGCAGTTTTGGCTTTACCATTAAAAGCCACTTTCTGGGGGACTCAAGCAGGCCTTTGTCATCACTCTCTGTTTTGCCCAAGAATCAGTCACTGACACCAACCAAAGTGGCCAGGCACACAGGAGATGTGCAAAGCAACATAAACTTGCACAAAGAGCACATAAAGGAAGTGCCTCACACCTGCCTTTAAGCCTCTCAAAGTCAGAGCTAAAACACCCTTTGAGGAAACACCCTATTTCCAAACTCACTCCTACTTGCTTTCCTGGTAATCTCTTTTGAGCTCCTTCTTACATGCTGACAAAGTGCCCAGCAGCACTGTGTGGAAATGAATGCTGAGATCACAACTTCTTATTTAGTATTTCACTTTTTCCATTCACACTTTCACATTCTTTCTATCAGGATCTGGGCTTTCAGCTGTAAATTCCCAAGTAGTGGTTAACTGATGTTCAGCCCCTCCTCTCCATTGCTGACACCTAATATGGCCAGTGGACATCTCACAGAAGTGACACTCACCCAGGCTCTGCTGATGAGGACAGGAAGGAAATAACCCTGTGGAGCTATCAAGAAACCAAAATCCTCATTCAATGGTAATCTCTCGTGTTAGCAGAT